ACTATACGCACACGCAGCCAGCATATACTAAGTATTGCACATGAGCATCACGGACAATAAATGGTGTGAGGATCAAGGGAGTCAGCAACACCGCAGACTGGGACAGCGGTCGGGACGGACTTGTTAGCACAGACGCTGAACTCGACACCTGAAGCTAGCTAGGCCTAGGCTCCCCACGGGCTGGGAGGGGAAAGCCAGACTCCAGGCTGGGGAAAGGGCAGAATAAGTAAAGTAACAAGCAGATGACGGGCTTGGTAGGCTTGGAAATGTTGGTTAGTGGAAGTCCTATATACGAAGGTAGTGAAAGACGGAGAGAGAACGTTAGGTCATGACTAATGCAGAGCTGTGTGAATGTCAGGATAAACTACTCGGACTTGGGCCCAGAGGAGATGGGCAGCATTAAAAGTTTGAGGACACAGAAAAACTGAAACACAAGGTACAAAACAGACATTTTAAGATATCTGACAAAAGAGTTTTCCAGGGATTGGGGTCACAGAACAACAACCAGAAATAACCAGGCTGATGAAACCAAGGGTCAGAGAGGAGTGACTGATAACATCGGTGCTTAAAGACCGCACTGACAGAACTGTACCTGAAGCCCCAAAGCTGGATGCTTATCTTCGGTGAAAGGATACAGACCAAGCTCTGGAGCATAATCCTCCACGAGGATAATCTGATAAGCCAGATCCACCACGTGCCACACCAAGAGAGGCAAGAAGAGCTGGGGAGGGAGCCAACAAAGGGGAACTCCAGTGTTTAAAGGTCAAATGAAAACACAGCAGCAGTGATCACACCACGCTGGCAAGGAGTGCTGAAGAAATGACCCCAAGTAGACTGCCCAGCTGTTTCACCCTAGCAGAAGTTCTCTGTTAAAGGAGGTTTCCCTGTATTCGCCAAGGCAACTTAGTACATGCTGAAGCTGGGAAGGTGACGCTTTTGACAACACAAGACTGAAAAACATTTTGATAGATTCAGATAAAATAAATGCCTGATTATGATTTGGAATGAAATAATGAAGTTACTTCATACTGAGTAAAAAAATCCTTTTAGATTTGGCTCACTTTTTTATACAATACTCAATGGTACATCATGATTTGGCCATTCTTCCTGGAAATATGTTGATATAATTTTGGAAGTACAGAAAAATATCGAGTGTTCATGTACCAATAAACCAGAGAGAGAGAAATATTCCTCCAATTTTCAAACTTATACACGAATTACTAATATCAACCCTAATTATGCTATGTTTTCTTTGGACCATTTAAAATGCTTTGGGGTAAAGATACGTCATGTTAATAATAGCAGCACATGTCATTTCTTAAATATACTTTAATTAAAAATATTTCCTAGTTTCTGCTTTAATTTCCTCTTTGACCCATAAATTATTTAGAAGTGTATTTGTTTCCAGGCAGTGACGGAGTTCTTAACTCTGCTATTAAATTGGAGCTCAATTCCGTTGTGGTCAGAGAATATTCCCTGAACAATTTCAATCTTGAAATTTGGAGAAGCTTTCTTTAGGGCCCAGCATATGATCCATTTGGACAAATGTTCCATATGTACTTTTTAAAAATGCAAATTCTAATTTTGCTGGGTGTAGCATTCTATATATGTTAGTGGGTCAAGTTTATGTATAACTTTATTACGATCTTCTATATCCTTACTAGTTTCTTGTCTGTCTGTTCTGTAAGCTCTTGACGTGTGTGTGTCTCCCACTAGGATTATAGATTTATTTTGTTTTAAGCCTGTCAGTTTTTGCTTTATATATTTTGAAGGTATGCTGTCTAAGATCATGATACTGTCCCCTTTACCATAAAATAATCTGTCTCAAAGTGGCATCTGAGCATTAGTGTACTCTGACATTGGTGTTGCTTTACCAGCATTGTTTAGGTAAGTACTTAGGTTGTATATTTTCTTCCATCCTTCTGTTTAAAGTATGACACTTGTAGGCAGGTATAACAGGGTTTTTGGTTATTTATCAAGTCTGACAAACTTACTCTTACTTGGAGTATTTAGCCCATTTATATTAAATATAATTACTTACAGATGGATTTATAGCTATCATCTTGCTCTTTATTTTTTAACTACCTACTATCTTATGTTCCCTTTTTATTCCCTTTTTTAGATTAATGCAATGTTTTTATTCCATTTTCCCCTCTTTTAACTTGTTAAATATGCAAACTTTATTCTTTGAAAATTTACCTTAGAGATTACAATATGCATCCTTGACTGATTAATGCCAATGCAGAGTATTACTACTGCTATTCTCCCAGTAATTCTAGATCTTAACACACTTACCCCTCTCCTGGTCTTTGTGCTACTGTATGTTTTAGTTTTACATACATTTTAAAGTCTAAAATCGTGTTACTGTTTTTATTTATTCTTTATGATGTTCTTGCATTTCCATCTGTGATAACTTTCTTCAGCTGACGGTAGCTCCCTTAGGTGTTTATTATAATACAATTCCACTACTGACAAATCCCCTCGATTTTGCCTGTATCTTTATTTCACCTTCATTTTTTAAGAAAATTTTGACTGGGAATAGAATTCTAGGGTGGCAGATTTTTTTTCTTTCAGTACTTATAAGTTGGCCATTTCACTGAGTTTGATTTCATTTTTTAATCATTTCTTTTTAAATGTCACAGTCACATCAGTCATAATATAGCTCCTTTAAAAGCAATGTGTCTTGTCCGGCCAGTGTGGCTCAGTGGTTGAGCATTGACCCACGCACCAAGAGGTCGCCAGTTTGATTCCCGGTCAGGACACATGCCCAGGTTGTGGGCCCGATCCCCAGTGTGGGGCATGCAGAAGGCGGCTAATCGATGTTCTCTCTCATCGATGTTTCTATCTCTCTCCCCCTCTCCTTTCCTCTCTTTCTGAAATCAATAAAAGGAAAAAAAAATTTTAAAAAAAAGAAAAAAGGTAATGTGTCTTGCCCTGGCTTTTTTGGCTCAGCAGTTAAAGAGACAGCTCACGGACCAGAGAGTCCTGGGTTCGATTCCGGCCAAGAAAATGTACCTCGGTTGCAGTTCAACCCTGGCCCCGGTTGGTATCGTCCAGGAGGCAACCAGTTGATGTGTCTCTTTCACACCAATGTCTCTCTCTCTCTTCCTCCCTCCCTCCCTCCTGCTTTATCTGAAGATAAATGGAAAGATATTCTCAGGTGAGGATTAAAAATAAATTAATAAATACAAGTAATGCGTCTTGCCGCAGCTGGTACTGCTCCGTTGGTTGAGCATTCTCTCCCTCTTTCTTACTCTCTCCTAAAATCAATAAAAACATTAAAATAAAATAAAAGTAATGTGTCTTTTCCCACCCTCTGGTTGCTTTAAAAAATTTTATCTTTGTCATACGTTTTCCTAGTCTTCTATTGATGTGCAAAGCTATGTTTCTTTCACAGTCCTTTTGCTTAGGATTTTTTAAGTTTTTTGAATCTGTTTTCTAAAATTTTTAGTATTATCTCTTCAAATATTGCTTCTTCCCTATTTTCTCTCTCCTTGTTCTGGGCCTCCAGATCTACACATGTTAGACCTTTTAACCACGTTCCATGTGTCTTTAATGTCCTTTTCTATTTCTTTGCTATTTTCTTTTTTCTGTGTTTCAGTTTGAGATTATCTACTTCTGCCCCCCATTTATTAATTCTGTCTTGCACTGTAACCAATCTGTTATTGGTCCTAGCTATTCATTCTCATTTTAAATACTGTATTTAATCTTCTAAATGTCCACTTAGTTTTCATAATGAAATCAAATTATACTGAAATTCTCTTTCCTTTCATCAATTTTATCCATCTTTTCTTGAATATATTATTTATAGTTATTTAAAGCACTTGTCAGCTGTCTCCAACACCTGATTCAGCTATGGGTCTGCTTCTACTACCTTGTTTATGATCTTGCCTCTTAGGTAGCTAATAATTTTTCACTATATGTGGAACACGATAGATTCTCTACATTTATTTTCTACCTGCAAAAAAGACAGAGAGGGCTCCCCTTGTATCTGTCACACAGGCAGTAAGGGGGCTCATCACCCAACAAGAGATTGAGCTGGGCTGGGTCTAGTTGTCATTTTTGTAGGACTCGGTCTGCCTCTTGTTTGCCCCAGTACCTAAGCCATGGCTCTCCATGGAGTTCAATGAGAAATCTGTCTCCTTAGCACTTGAATCACTTTTGCCCTTAAGAGATTTGCAGAACAGCTCTTTACCTCCTGTGTCACTTACCTTCAAAACTTGGCATCTGTCTTGAGAGGGAGACTAACCAATCACATGTTTGGGGTTCCTCCAGCCCCATTTTTTACTTTAGCCCCAGAAACCTGGCTTTTTGTCTCCCAGAAGCAGCCTTCTGCCAAGGGCCAAACCTGGACTCCAAAATACCTGGAGTCTGTTACACCTGGAATCAACAACTGACCCAGGTGGTAAGTAATACAGATCTTCATGCCAGTAGAACACTCCCCTGTGTTCTCATCTCTTGCCTATTCTGCTTTCAGATTCCTGCCCACAGCAGGTGTACATTTCCATACAGCACTGTAAGGCTGTGGGAGATTTCAATGTGTCTCCCAGAAGCTCTCAGCCCACTGCTTCAGCTCCCCTCCACCCTCTTTCACTAAGTGTCCAATTTGTCTCTTCAGTGATGTGTGACCAGAAAACTGCCAGTTTCTCTTTCACCCAGCAGTGGCCCTCTGCCTCAGCTTATGTCTCCAGAACCAGCAAACTTTTGCAGAAAATAAAGTGGCTGGTAGTCTCCAGTACACCCCAGAATGATCCTCCCTGCTCTGGGATTTTAGTCTAACTACTCCTCATTGTTTCCGGAGCACTCCAGAGTCTTTACAAAGAGGATTCGTACAGATGGTGTCTGCATCTCTAACAAACTTCATATTATATCATGTACTACTAATTACTTTCAATGAATTTCTAAATATCTATAAGATGCGTAGTAGTCTTAATATTTTCCAAAGTACAGTTTAAATATGCTTTTGAAATAAAAGCATGAGTAAAACAGTTACTTCTTACCTCTTCATAAAACTTCACCTGAGGTACAGCTTCATTAATTTCATTCAAACAAAAATCTTTAAATAGCAAGAAACCTAAGGGAAAAGAATAAAAAAATTCAGGGTGGGCAATAAATTAAAATTTTACCCTACAGGGTATTGTCAAAGTAATGTGTCTATACTTCAACCTCTTCCTCCCCTACCTTAAAGAGTAAAAATAAAGATTTCAAGAGGCTAATTATACCCTAGAGGGAAACACACCAGGTAAAGTAAGAGTCCCACATGCCTGGCTCCTTGCTTTGGGGTTCCATCTCTATTGTCAACCCCCTCCCACTTTTTAAAAACGCTTATCAGCAGTGTTAGTGGTCACCACCACTTAGAGACACTGTCAACATAGGAGCAGAATCAGCAGAGAAACAAAAGATGAGGGTAGCATGGAAGTGTTGGTAAGGGCCATCATGTGATTTGCAGGGAATGGACCAGTGGTTTTCTGGGGAGCATGAAACTGCAGCTTCCTGGTGAAGCTGTCTGGATGACCATGCTTATAATGACCATGGCCTTTCCTTTGTCCTTCCCTATTAGTATTGCCTAGCTAGTTATGATGGTTACATTTGCATATTAATATTTTTAATTTAAATAAAAGCAATTGTTTTCTCATTTGTTCTCATTCATTTCAAAGTAATTTCAAATTTCCCTTGTCATTTCTTCTTTGACCCATGAGTTATTCAGAAATGTTTAATTTCCAAATATTTTGTGGGTTTTGTTTCAGGTATTATTTTGATAATGACTTCTGTTTAATTCTGTTGTGATCAGAAAATATATTCAGTATGATTTCAATGCTTTTAACTTTATCAAAACTTGGTTTTGGCCCCAAATTTGGTCCACCTAGGGGAATGTTTCACGGGTACTTGGGGAAAGAAAAAAGTATACAGGGTAGAGTGTTTCATTAAACAAAATAAAAAGGCAACTAAGCCAAGTTGGTTGATAGAATTGTTCAAATTCATCCACTAAATCCTTACTGAATGCCTGTCTACGTCTTCTTCTATTGTTGACAGAGGACTATTGAATCCTCCATCTGTAATTGTAGATTGTTGAGCTTTTGCTTCGTTATCTCTTTTTTATTTTTGGAAGAGAAAACTAAGATGAGAATTTGAACTTATATACCTTGATCATATTAACGACATTTTCTGAAATGTCTACATGACAACATGAATGACTACACCACACATGGGCCACTGGCTTTGGACTGAACTTGGAGTCAAACTGAAACTGATCATCATGGCCTATCACGGCCTCTGGGACCTGGTCCCTGCTTTCTTCTCTGGCCACATCTTACAGCATTCTCTCCCATGCTCACTTCGCTTAGGCCAAGTGTCTATATTCTAGTTTCTCCAACACCAAACTGGTCTGTTCTTGGGGTTTCCAACCTGCTATCCCCACTTCCTTCAACACGCTTCCCTGGGTCTCGTGCACCTTCAGAGCTCTGCTCAGATGCCGAGGCCTTCCATGATTCTCATCCATCTTCACTCTCTCATCGCTTATCCACTCCCTCTCACAAACACGCGCCTGAGCACACAAATGCACCAGAAATGATCATATGCGTATGTTTACTTCTTCACCATCTACCTCCCCACTGCAATGTAAACTGTGTACAGACAGGCCACACACGTCTTATTCACTCCATGCGCAGGAACAAGAACACTGACTGAGACATATAGGGAGGCCAGAAGAATGAACAAAGGAAAGAAGAAGGAAGGTGGGGAGAAAAGAAGGAAAGAAGGAAGGGGGAAAAAAGGAAAAATGGGAGGGAGGAGGAATGAAAAGGAGGGAGGGGAAATGAGGAGGATGAGGGAGAGGGGGAGTTAAATGAATGAACATCCAACTTAAAATGTTTTTAGCTACTTCTTTAATGCAATGTTTCCATTGTCGATGTGTAGGATGAGCCAAAGAACTACTGTAATACACTGAGGGGAAACTATTGCTTTCATGTCTCCACGTAAACTGAAGCTCTACTTTTTATCACAGCAGCTGTTAAAGTGGAAGAGCCAGAAGATATTTTGCCTTTCGGATTAATTCTAGATCATTGTGTTCTGGGCTGAAAGCAATTTACCTTCATTGGGCTTAAATTACATTTAAAAAACAAACAGTACTTCTCAGATTAGAACAAAAGCTAAAGGACAAAAATTGGGAAATAACTTGCCTAACAGGCTCCTTTCATCAGTGTGATTTCTCCAGATGTTAAAGAATAAAAAGTAGTGCCTCAACACCTGCTGGCTAGACATGTGTGGATGTGCTCACCCTTGTTTCCATGTCTGAGCCAAGGCCAACGGCACGAATACTGATTGACTTCTGAGTGTCTGTAACATCCAGGAAAGGCAAACTATCCCAACTTTCCACCACAATATTTTGCAAAAATTAGTAGAAAGAATTGTACTGGGGTGCATGCAGAAGGCAACTGATCAATGTTGCTCTCTCACATCCATATTTTCTCATTATCGCTCTCTCCCTCTCTCTCAAATCAATGGAAAATATCTTCAGGTGAGAATTAAAAGAAGAAAAGGAAATCATCCAATAAAAGAACGGGCAAAAAATTTGAACACTTCACAGAGGAAGAGATTTGAACGGCCAATGAGTACATGGAACAGGCTCAACTTTGTTGGTCATCATGCAAATGTAAATGAAATCACTTTGAGATTCCACTGCTCAACTACTTGAATGGCAGAATTAGAAAGACTGACAAACACCTCTCCAAAAAGGACATACAAATAGCCAAGAGACATGTGAAGAAATGCTCAAGATCACTAATTATCAGAGAGATGCAAATTAAAACAACTATGAGGTACCACCTCACACCTATCAGAATGGCTGCCATCAACAAATCACCAAACAACAAGTGTTGGCAAGGGTGTGGAGAAAAGGGGACTCTAGTACACTACTCGTGGGAATGCAGACTCACGGGGTGCAACCACTGTGGAAATCACTATGGTGTTACCTCAAAAAGTTAAAAATTGAACTGTCATTTGACCCAGCGATCCCACTTCTAGGAATATAGCCTAAGAAACCTGAAACACCAATCAGAAAGAATATATGTACCCCTATGTTCATAGCAGCACTATTTACAATAGCTAAAATCTGGAAACAACCCAAGTATCCATCAGTAGATGTGTGGATTACAAAGCTGTGGTACATGTACACAATGGAGTACTATGCAGCTGTAAGAAAGAAAGATCTCTTATCCTTTGAGATGGCATGGAAGGACCTGGAGAGTATTATGCTAAGCAAAACAAGCCCAGCAGAGAAAAACAAATATCACATCATCTCATTTATTCGTGAAATATAATGAACTAAACAAACTGCTGAAGAAAATTAACCCAGAGACATAGAGGTGGGGTACAGACTGACAAGCCTCAGAGGAGGAGGGGTTGGGGGAAGGAGATAAACCACAGAACTTACATGCACATGCATGACCAATGAACATAGACAACAAAGCTGGGGATGGGGCGGGGGAAGGGGAAGAGGGTGTCAATGGGAGGAAAATGAGAAACATCTATAACAAAAACAAATTAATAAACAAAAATTTTTTAAAAGACTGACTGACAACACCAAATGTTGGTGACCAGAATTCTCACTGGCTGAGAAGCATATACAATGTTTGGACTCCCCACGCCTCTGAATCAACAGGCAAAGAAGGAAGTTACTGTGCTGGCTGGGTGACTGATCCTAACCATTCACACAAACATCTGAACATGCTATTTCTATTGATAGTAGCTTTATATACAGTGTTCTAAAATTAGAAACAACTCAGATGTCTTCAATATGCAAACTGTGATGTATCTATACACTGGAACACTGCTCTACCGTGAAAAGAAATGACGTCCTGCTACCAGCACCATGAATGAATCTCAAATGCACTATGCTAAGTGAAAGAAACTAGATTCAAAGGGCTACATACTAAATGGTCCCCCTTAAATGTCATTCTGGAAAAGAGGACACCATGGAAAACAGGTCAGTGGTTGACAGGGGGTGGAGTATAGGGTGTGGTCTAACTATATAGGGGACACTAGAACATTTTAGGAAGTCATGAATGCTCTGTATCTAGATTTTGAGGATGGTTATATGACTTTATGCATTTGTCAAAACTCGCAGAATTGCACACCCTAAATGGTAAATTTTAATTTATTTAAATTAAACCGTAGAAGAAGAAAAATGAGGTTGGGTGCATAGAGTTGAGCCAGGTACAAGTCTCAAAAGTTGTTACTGAATAGTAACCACAAATTGGGATTTAAAATTTCTAGAAGCCAATGCCTGATCACTTCCTTACATGGTTCTCAACATCTACCAGACGTTCTTCACAAAGCACAAGTTTCCACGGAAGGTAAAATCATTCACAAGCAGAGGCTCGGGATAACATAAGTAATAAGGTCCTTAGTAAGGCAGAGATCAAAAACAGATACTCCGGCACACCTAGAATATACAGTAGTCTTTACAAGTGAAAACAAAGGAACTCTTAAACGATAACTAGAAGAGCAAACTCATAAAGAAAGAAAAAAAGCATACCAATTTTAAAACTGAAAACTCCCACAGGGTATCATGTTCCTCCTGGCTGGCTATTACTCACCTAAATTCCCAATGAGTAACACTCCCTTTCATTTCTTCCAAGTTCCAATAGAAATGAACAAATGTAAATCAAAATGAATATTTAGCTAATAATCATATTTATCTATTTCACATAAACTTTAAATATATTTGTTTTCATTTGACTCTACTTAACAAACTAACATTTTCACTTCTTGACTTAAAAATGTACAGAAAGAGAAAATTATAAAGGAAATGTGACTTAGAAATACTCTAAACAGTCTCCTAAAATCCAAGTTATCCATTCTACCTCCTAATTTAAATTCAGCACATACATGCCCAATATTGTTATATTAATTAACAGAATCATTCCTTCACACAATGGAGAGACGTGGGGCCCTGAATATTAAAAATCCATCAGACAAAAGGACAAACGATAATGAATATGCCAAAGAAAAGCCCATGGAGTGTTCCAAGCAACTGGCTCTTATCTCAAAGGGGAACAAAAAGAAAACTGGAAC